AGGTCCTCATTTTTCCCCTCCCTCCCCGCTCCCCCCTCCCACATGAGCCCTTGATAGTTTATAAATTGGTATTTTGTCATATCTTGCCCTGTTTTAATCATTTTATTGAGGGCTCGTACAACTCTTATCACAATTCATATACATCAGACAATGGTCATGAACTTTTTTTTTCTTTGCACAGGTCTATTGCTTCTGAACTTGAAAAAATACAGAAGTTTAACTGTATCCTTCATTATCTTATAAAAAACTATTCCATTCTGTTCTTAGTTCATGACTGTATTTATGAATATGAATCCATACTTGCATATTGATGAGCTTTATTGAATAAACACAGATTATTTTAATGTTGTAATTTATGATATCTCTCTCTCTGTTGAAGCTACATTATGTTAACATTTCTACCCTTCTTTGGTTTTAAATTGGGCAAAAATAGTGAACTAATGTCCTCTTGGGAATTTTTTTACTTATATGATTATATTCTAGATTGTAACTATAACCTGTCCTTGCCTACTTTTTCTTATTAAAACTTTCATTCTGTTCAATCTCATCCCCTTCATCTAAATTTGTTTTATCTTCTGATTTTTGTTTAATCCAGAGCTTCACGTCAGTTCTTCCCAATTCAGTTATGGCCAAATGAAGTGTGAAATCATAACAGACCCAAATATGTAAAATGGAATGGTAACTGGAATGAAAAAATTACAGGTCAACACTGTGCTAGAAACTCACTTCCTTTTAGAAAACAAGGACAGCCTGTGCATTGCACAGCAACCCCATGTCTTGACAAACAAAGTCGGAAACAACAGTGTCCCATTCAAAGACGGTGGCAGACATACTGCACAACTTTGAATGTGTGTCACTTTCTATAGACCTGGCAATAATCCAGTATCCTGCATCAGGATCCTGAAAGGGCTCACTAGGCCCTCTTGTGAGTCACCTATTCTAGGTCTTCCACCTGTGATTTACCCTGTTCTGGCTATCATTCCACTTCACCCAAATTTTTGAAGTTCAGGTCTGCTCTGGATTTCCCTTCATAGGCCATGGCTGAACCAGCCCTGGTTTAATCCTATTCAATGACAAAGTAGCACTGCACCAGAAGAAATGTTTTGTAAAAGATAAAAACAGTGCACCAATGACGTATAAGTCTATCTTCCCCCCTTTTTAATCCTCATTATTCCCAATTCCTCTTCCAGCCAACACACATATGCTCACTCTCTCTCTCTCCTTCCCTTAGTAACAATTAACTTGTTTCTTCATCTATAAATGATAAGCTCTGAAGAGCAAATATTATTATGAGAATATTTGAATAAAATTATCAGGCTTTCTCAAAATAGAAAGAAAAAATAGAGGGGAAAACTCCTTAACTAATCAACTCAGCATTACTGGAGAACAGTGGTCTCCTAAATCCGATTTCTAAGAAGAAAACCCAGCAGTCTTCCGATTATTTCAGACCAAACTCTTCTGAAAATTTATTGGTAGAAGAAATTAATGAACACAAAGTATTAGTAGCATTGAAAAAGACCTCTGAAATTCTTCAGGATATTGACTGTCTTTTGTCAAAGTCTAAAAAATGAAAACATTTAAATATTTTAACATGTTATTAAACCTTAAAGATGTTAGGGGGCAGGGGGAAGATGTTGTTTCAAATGATTGATAAAAGACATTCTATTAAGCCAAGAAATGGTGTATGGTATTTCTGTATGATGGTTGTGTATGAACTGGCATTTAACTTTGGGTATCTGTTACCCCATTTGTAAATTTAAAAATATGTCTTTATAATTAATTAATAAAGAACTATTTTGACACTTTTTAACTATTTGTTTTTCAGATTTATGAAAAATAAAATCCATAAAGTTAGTTATGAAAACTTTTTATTTTGTGGAATATCACAATTAGTCTGCAAGGTTGGTTTTTGTATTTTAAATATGCAGACATGCACCTTTGGTAATTTTCTTCTTTTTAAAAAATCATTTTATTGGGGGTTCTTACAGCTCTTATCACAATCCATACATCCATCCATTGTGTCAAGCACATTTGTACATTTGTTGCCATCATCAGTCTCAAAACATTTGCCTTCTACTTGAGCCCTTGATATCAGCTCCTCATTTTCCCTACCTCCTCCACTCTCCCTTCCTCATCCACCCTCGATAAATTATAAGTTACTATTGTTTTCATATCTTACCTCGTCTGCTGTCTCCCTTCACCCACTTTTCTGTTGTTTGTCTTCTGGGGGTGGGGGTGTTGTATGTCGAACATTGTGATCAGTTTCCCCTTCCTCCCCATTGTTTCTGTTTTACTTCAAGTATTGTTTGATTGAACTATAAAAAGAGAAACAGATTTCATTTATTTAAAAAAAAACCTGGGAAAACCTCATCTAAATAATATTACTTCAAGATGAAAATTGAGCACTTCAGATTAAATTTGGTCACAACTGGCTACTACACCAGGTATTTTCACCTTTTGAATATATATAAAAAGATATATGCTGAAGAGTATTTTAAAGAAGAAGGCTCATCAAAGGCATTATATTTATATTACAACAAAACCACACAGCTATAAAAACTTAAAAGATTGTACATCCTGAAATGTTTAATTTCTGATCTCTATAAAAGACCAACATAAAGGAGAAACAGTAACAGTAAACAGTGAGGAGAAGGATCGAGAGGAAAAGCAGAGTTTAGCAGACCAGGACTAGTAAGGTCAGTGATTTGCATGTGCACAGTGCTCTCTTTAGCTGCTCTCATCCTGGACTCTCCCACCCTTCAGGCATCCATACCTACAGCACCTCCTCAGAAGGGCCTCCTAGATTATCCTATCTAGAGACGGCCTTTCCGTTATTCTCTATTGCATCCTGTAAAGGAATACTTCCTTTGCAGCACTTATTACAGTCTATCTAGCGTATTTCTTCATTGTGTTACAGGGTACAGAAGATACTCCAAATCTCAAAAATAATTTAAGGAGAACATTTATTAAGTCCTAAACAAGGGGATGACAAAGACATCATTCATTTAAAAGAGGCCATTGACACAAGGTCATAATGTCGTCCAAAGATTCATAGCCACACAGCCACTTAAATAGGATCTGGAGAATAAAGGAAACTGTCACAAAATCATGATTGGTGGCAAATCAAACTTCACAGTTACAGGCAGGACTACAGAGGTGAGAATGGAATCTTAATTGGGGCATAAACTATGTTAGGCCAGGTGTGGGGAACCTTTCTTCCACCATGGGCCATTTGAATCTAACAATTTGTGGGCCATACTGATCAAACATTCAGCTAGCTCCTCCTTCCTTCTCAATGTTAGTGAGTTTGTCTTGTTCCTTGATGTGAACAAGGGCATACTGCATGGTTTAAAATCAGGAACGGCCTCTCTCTGGCGTCCTCGCTTCCGAGATGCAAAGAAAAGGCGAAACAAAGGCTGTGCCAAGAAAGGCCACGGCCATGTGCAGCCCATTCGCTGCACAAACTGCGCCTGCTGCGTCCCCAAAGACAAGGCCATTAAGAAGTTCGCCATAAGAAACACAGGGAAGGGCGCGGCCGTCAGAGACATTTCTGAAGCGAGTGTCTTCGATGCATACGTGCTTCCCAAGCTGTATGTGAAGCTGCATGACTGAGTTGTGCCATTCACAGCAAGGTGGTCAGGAACCGGTCACGTGAAGCCCGGAAGGACCGAACCCCCCACCTCGATTTAGACCTGCAGGTGCTGCCCCACGACCTCCTACAAAGCCTATGTAAAGATTAGAAGCTGAAAAAAAACAAACCTGAAAGGAAATAAAATGAAAATTGTTCGTGGAAAAAAAAATTCAGGAACGGCGTGCATCAGGGTTTTATCTTCTCACCATCCTTGTTCAATCTGTATGCTGAGCTAATATTCAGAGAAGATGGGTTATATGAAGAAGAATATGGCATCAGAATTAGAGGAAGGTTTACTAACAACCTGCAACGTGCACATGACACAGCCTTGCTTGCTTAAAGTGAGGAGGACTTGAAGCACTTGGTGAGGAAGAACACAGATATCAACCTTCAGTATGGATTATAATTCAATAGAAGACCAAAATCTTCACAACTGGACCAAGAAACGGAAAAAAGATTGAAGTTGTCAAGGATTTTGCCTTGCTTGGATCCACAATCAATGCTCATAGAAGTAGCAGTCAAGAGATCAAATGATGCATTGTGTTAGGTAAATATGCTGCACAAGACCTCTTTAAAGTGTTAAACAGAAAAGATGTGACTTTGAGGACTAAGGTGCACCTGATCCAAGCCACGGTATTTTCCATTGCCTTATATGCATGTGATAGTTGGACATTTGATCAGAAAGGCCCAAGAAGAATCCATGCATTTGAATTGTGCTGGAGAAAAATGTTGAAAGTACCATGGACTTCTAAAAGGACAAACCAGTTTCTCTTGGAAGAAGTTTGGCCACAGTGCTCCTAAGAGGTTAGGATGGTAAGTCTTACATGATTTAGACATGTTGTCAGGAGAGAAGGAAATCATGCATAGTACAGGGGCAGCAAGGACAGAGGCAGACCCTCAAGGAGTTGAATGGACGGTTCTGCAACAATGGGCTCAGGCATAGGAATAACTGTGAGATGGCCCAGGGCCAGGCAGTGTTTCCTTCTGTTGTGTCTGAGGGTGGAACAGATTCGATGGCATCTAAGGACACAACAGTCATCCCGTAGCCTTAGTGCTGAGCATGTTGCCAGACACACTTAGAGCACACAGTATGTGTTGTGTAGGAGAATCAATGTCTTTAGGTAGTAGACTACAAGGAACAGAAATGTAAAGAATTTGTTCTTTTGGTTGCAGGAAACTACTTATGTAGACCTATAGTGTCACTCTGAGATGATACAGACTCGATGGCCATGGGCTTGGTTTGGGTTTCAGTAGCTCTAGAAGACTTTGGCTGTGATAAGACATGTAACATGTTGCCAGAGGGTCAATGGCGATGTGTTACTGTATTCAGAAAGAAAGTTGTGGTAGTTATATAATTTCATGTCAACTTAAAGATATATAAAAGTGTAGGCCCCAGTGCTCCAAGATGTGAATGCAACAGGCCAGCATGGAGTAGGGAACTAGTGGAAAGACCTGAGGGGCTGGCCCCAATCCCAACTACGTGGACACCTGCCCCTCCCCCCAGAAAAAATTTATTTGAGGACAGCACTGAATCTGTAGGTCCAGGAGAGAGACATGTCTGATCAGAGCACATGGGAACAAATGAAGGAGGAGGAAGAGCGAGTGGAGCACATCCTGGCCCACCAAGCCTTGAGGACGATATTCCTGCTCAGAGCAGTCAATCCACAAAGAAGACCATATGGCTGGCCCCACTATGAGACAACATCCCTCACTGACCCATAGCCCTACAGAGGACAACTCTGGAGACACAGTGTGGGAATTCTGCCCGATCTGATCCCATCACACCGAGGCAAAACACTAAGGGCTTGGAACAGAACAGCAAGGGGAACAGAGCAATGAAGTCCCCAGGGAATACCAAAAATAGACTTTGGGGCCATGGCTTGGCGCCCAGTCAGATTCGACCAGAAAACACTCCTAAGG